CTGGTCCTGATTTGTGATTGCTGGTTTCACATATTTTTTTGTTAAAAAAAAATAACTGAAAAGTTTCTTTGCTCCAATAGGATTTCATTCATGTTTATACTATTTGTGTGTGTATGTTTTATTCTTTTATTTTATTTTATCTTTTATTTTATTTTTTTAGAAAGTAAAGTTCTCACTTCGTTATTTGCCATTCCAACTCTTTGGGAAAATCAGACGGTTTTCCTTTACGACATAAATCCAGTGAGCAGTGAGACGATGTGACAAAATAAAAATTCAGTTCATTACGGAAAATACCAGAACGTTAATCAACCTGTGGACAGAATAAATTACCGCAGGAGAAAATGGGGAAAAACTGATAAGCATGAAATTAGGTTGGCATGGAAATGTCCATCTGATGAACGCTGCTCACATTAAGAGAAGAAGAAGGCTGTGTAAACAAATCTTTTGTGTACCGCCATGATGTCGGTCTAAAATTTAATTAGTTTTTGGTTCATACAGAATTTTTAATGACATTATTAAGATGAGCATTGTTTCATTAAAAATTGCTAAAACTCCAGATGGGCCTTTTAATGGATGATTTGTCTGTTTTTATGCCTAATTCCTGTTCAGTTTAAATGGTCTGTCTCTTGCTGATTTTGTCTCTGTCAGCCATGTTTTTGTGTATATACTGGAGGGACTGTTTGTGTGTGTGTGTGTGTTTGTGAAATAAATCTGTGTTCACTTTCTGGCTGCCCAAAGCATCAGATGAAACGCATTTCCTTATCCGTTATGTCCGACCTGCTGTTGTACAAATGGTTGTACAGATCTAACGTGAAACACAAAAACTCCTGTACAGAAGAAAATCCTTAATAAAAAATAATTTTAACTTTATTTCACAGTGGAGGTTTCTCTCTTCTTTTTTTATTACCTTTTTTTTATACACAAAACAGTTGATAATTAAGGAAAAACATTTGTTGGAACTACAGCTGTACCTAATAAAGTGGCAGGTTAGAGTATATAATTAGATGAGTCAAGATTTTAGTCTTGAAAATAATCTTTAGGAAAATGTTTGCAATATAAATACGTTGAATTTAACATGATTTAAGCTGTGATCAAAACTTTTAGACAAGTTGCAACATTTAACCTAACAACATGAAAATCTTTTTGTTCCTTTGCCATCTTATAACAGGCTGAAGTTATTACAGTTACATGTTCTTGCCAGTGGGTGGCGCTGCTAACTAACAATTACTCCACAATCATTCAGGTCTCAAAAATAATGTCAAATATTACCAGTTTTTTAAAGGGAATCATTTTTCATGTTAAAATGTTTTCCTTTTAACATTTGCCGTTTTAATTTTATCGATAATCAATTTCAGACTTAAGACTTCTAATAGTTGTGGAAAGTGATATAAATCTGTACCTTATTGTCTCTGTTAAAATATCACAATTTTAATCCAAAATGAAATGACTGGAAGTTATGTAAGTAGCAAGAAAAATATGCATAAATAAATCAGCTGGTATAGTTATCGTTTGTTTGCCTGAATGCTTATATGACTGATGAACTATTTGCTGCATTTATATCACTTTTAAATGCCATCATTTAGTGATGCCAAAATAAAAAAAAATGGAATAAAACAAAACATTCACTTTCAAGTTATGTAAGAACATTATTTATTCAACAGTAGATCTCCAGTAATAAATAAATGCACAGGTCATTCATTCCACAATGAAACTGAGGGGAAACATGTTTCCATTTGAAGGGTCGATATTGCCATGGTGAACCGGAGAGAGATGCAGATGGGACTGAATACAGAGAGGCATATTAAGACGTACAGATACAAACTACACAGATCTGTATAAAGTATTGCATTTTTCATCCACTGGCCCCCTTTTTTTGTCCATCTCTCAGTACAAAGATCGACTCGGTCCGGAATCACCAACGATGTGCAAATCAACCAATAAAATTACAAATACAGTATTGCATCACTTCAAAGTGCTACACAGAGAGAAAGAGGTGCTGACGATCTTTAAAAAAAAAAAGTGTAGAAACCTTAAACGTGTGTGTGAGTCTGTATGGGCGTTCAGCTTTGAGTCTAGTATAAAAATGAACTTTTTTGCCTTTATTGGTCTAACACAGTGTTCATCTTAGCCTGAAACTTTAGTAATGCAGGAGTGCCCACGAATTGTGATGTAATAATGTATATATTTTTTGTGCTTGACTGGTTTTGAAGTACAACAGTCAATTCCTGATTGTGTTTTTCTATGTATATAAAAGTGCTCGTTTGGGTGATTTAATACCATTAATAACCAATAATTACTAATTTACTATGTTGATGAGAAATAGGCATGGATACCAATTTTAAAGGATGACAAAGATACAATTTAAAAACTTGTAAAATAGTTTCCATATAATTCCTAGGGGTTAAAGTATTTATTGAGAGATGCCAATAAAAAAGGGAAAGAGTAGTGACGCACCAGTGTCCATCCCCAACCTGTTTCTGTTCACTTCCTGTGAAGATTTGCAAGAAAGCTAAACTCCTCTGTTTTGAAGGAACACCACCCATAATTTATTAAGAATCAAAAGCTTATATTTTATAAAGATAAATTGTCTTATGGTCTCTTTCTGTGCTTTGTGCCATTAAACTTGTGTAAGAATTGTACCACTTGTTTAGCGAAGATGAATTGAAATTTAAAGCAACATGCTAGCTGGGCCTATTTGGGAGCAGGCTAGCACGCTTTTAGTAGGCTAGCTGTTATTTTGCTGTTGAAATTAGACTTTAAAACTAAACTAAGCATTTTTACAAACATCAAAAGTTTAAATCCTGAAGTTTACTCCAACTTTATCTTTAAAACAACATTTAGTAAATCCACACAAATTAGCTTGTTGACTCTAGCTCTGGTTCTTGGTTAGCTAGTTTGCAAGTGAATTAATTTGTTTAATCATCTATGAGGTCTAATAAAAGTAGTACGAAAAACAAGAAAATTGTGCAGGTGTTTATTCTGGATATTTACTTGCACTTTAACACTATTTTAATTTTTTTTATTTTTTTTGGGATAGTCTACCACAAAACCTTGACTGTGAGAATTTCCTACCGGCCCATGCCTATTGAGGATTCTCAGGGGTCTGCCAAACATCCATCAGTCTACTATCTTGCAGTTACAAAACAAAATAAATGCCAAAAAGAGAACTTACTGGGGGATACCTTAATGAACAAGGCACAAACATCTTAATGGACCATCCACTGACACCGATGCTTATTTTTGCTTTTTATCTGAAAAAATTTTCAAGGCACCAAGCAGGAGCCACTTTGTTCTTCATGTCAAATCACTGTAAAGAGATAAAACATCGCTGAGAAGAAGTGAAACCCAGTTTGTTTTAACTAAAAAAAAAAAAATGAATAGTTTACCACACACGTTTAAAAGGAATGGTACTTAAACAGACTGTCTTCCAGGGAGTTTAATCTAAAAAGAGAAACCCAACTTTTCTGCAAAATATCCCCAAAATCTTTTCACTCTTCCCATCAGAAAACACCTCCTATTTCCAGAAGTTTCGGCCCTTTTTGCCTAAAAATATTTATATACGATGCAGAAGGGCTTTTCTGTGGTGTCAGGGGTTTCCCAGTCCATTTACAAGGGGCCCCAGTCTTTTTATTTGGCATCTAGTTCTATTTATTTTTAACATCCTCAGTGAGAAGACGAAGAGCAGAGAAGAAAAAAAAAAAAGAGGGAGGGGGACAAGTCTGACATGAGAGGCAGAGATGAGAGGATGAGGAGGAGGGAGGAAGCATAAAGGGATGAAAAGGGAGATGAGAGGAGAGGAAGAGGACGTGTGAAGGGCAGGAAGCTCCGGTCGGATCCCCGGCAGAACACCTGTCACTGAAGAGGCTCCTGCTTTCTGTCACCCTCGCTTTTTTCCCCTCCCTCTTTCCTTCTCCATCCATCTCCTTTGTCCGGCGACAGGAGGGACACCCGAGGAGGAAAGAGGGAGTGCTTAAAATTCCCCCCTTCCTTCCTGTGTCCATCTCCTCTCCTAAAGACCTCGTCTCCATAGAAACAAGCTATCTTCATACTGAGCTTATTCAGTCGGCAGGCATGAACGTGTGCGTGGGAGAGAGGGGAAGATAGGTTCGCTGCTGCTCAGGCCTCACCGTGTTAGGTTTCTGTGTGTGTGTGTCAGTGTGTCTCTGTGCATGTTGGAAGAAAAGTGTGTCCGCGTTAATGTCAGTCCAACACTCCGTGTGAATGACGAACAAGTCCAGAAAAGACATTTCGTTTTTGGTCAACTGGAATAAATCTCTCGTGAAAACTGACTGAGTGTTGGCTGGTTTGTGAAATTAAAAAAGACGAAGAAGAAGAAAAAAAAAAAAAAAGGTCCTTTTCAGGCACCGTGACGCTTCTCGCCTCCGTGTCGTGGAAGTACGGACACACTGCAGAGGTCAGTGACACCGAGAGCTCCTCCAGCCCAGTCCGCTCTCGCTTTGAGTCAGGATATGGGGGTAACGCTGTCCATTAGCAGCCAGGTGAGGTCGTGATGGGGCTGTGGTGCAGGTAGGCCGGGTTCACCACCGACACCGGGAAGTTGAAGATGAACGGAGACGTGGGCGTGACGGCCGTCGAGCTGTTGGCCACCGTGGACTTGGGTCCGAGCAACGGGCTCGCCGTGGCCGCGGCTTCGGCGGCGCAGGATGTGGCGAGGACCTGGGACTCGAACTGCAGCAGCTGGCCCATGAAGCTGAAGTTGGGTGAGATGATGCTGCGGCGGCGGCGCACGAACTCGAAGGCTTCGTCCAGACGTACCCGCTTCCTCTTCATCAGGTACGCCAGGCAGATGGTGGCNTGTATTTAGATCTTTGACATAAATGTCAATTGTTTGGTCAAAATTGACAGTTATGTGCAAATGTTTGGATTTCCTTGTGGCTCAATTATTTGTTTATATTTAAGTGAGGTAAATTTAACAATGCCAGATTTTGGCCAGTTTTTTTTTTTTTTTTTTTGTACGAGTGATTTTTACTCTACACTACAGTAAAGTGAAGGTAGGAAATGGTTACTATACACTTCAAGGTTCTAAAATATAATTAGTTTTTTCTGATTTGATCCACAACCGTAAAACAAGTTCAACCTCAAAATTTGTTGCAAGCTACAAACTTCTCACTATTTGAGGGGAAAAAGAAACAAAACGAGGCAGAATTTTCCCACCCATGCTGGAGATTCCCGGGAGTTTGTAGTGACGTTCTCCTGTTTGACAGATACAAAACGCAGCTTGGCCAAGGTTCAGCCATTCGTGCTCTGGAAGATTAACTTTGTACTCCGACGTTTTCTTTCTTCCAGCTTGACTGGAAGCTTGAGCGGATCTCGCTTATCACCCTTCCCCTTTCGACCACACGGCTTACTGGGGACGGCGCCCTCAGGACCGCGGCGCAGTGCAGTTCCTTTAAGGCGGCGCGCTGCGGAGCTAGAAATCCCAGGAAATAATCTGGCTTCTCTGATGCCTGAAATGGCCTGTCTGGCTCCAGTCATCTTAGATCCTTCTCAGATTGTATATTTCCCAGGAAAAACAGCCCCTGATGCGCCGCGTCTTTCATACTTCGTGAATCAGAGGGCGATCCTTCACGTCATTTACCGAGGCAGTCAGAGCAACTTGTGTTGAAGCTTCTGACTAAAGCAGAAAATGACATTTAAACAGATTTGCTGTGGAAAATAAAAAAAATAAATAAAAAAAATGTCCATGAGGAGATAAATCGAGAGGATGTACCGGTTCAACAATGAGTTTCTCACTTCCCCAGGTTCCCCCTTCATCAACGCGATCATCCACAAGGGTTTTGACGAGCGACACGCCTACATCGGCGGCATGTTCGGGGCGGGGATCTACTTTGCAGAGAACTCCTCTAAAAGCAACCAGTACGTCTACGGGATCGGTGGAGGGACGGGGTGTCCCACTCACAAAGACCGCTCCTGCTACGTGTGTCACAGGTCAGCCACTCCTCTGGACTTCAACTTTTAATTAGTGAGCTGAAGACTGAAGCACGCTGGGTGGGGAATTACATATATATATACGTTTTTTCCTTCTGCAGACAGATGCTGTTCTGCCGGGTGACTCTCGGCAAGTCGTTCCTCCAGTTCAGCGCCATGAAGATGGCGCACGCCCCCCCGGGTCACCACTCGGTCATAGGGCGACCCAGCGTCAACGGGCTGGCGTACGCAGAGTACGTCATCTACAGAGGGGAGCAGGTCAGTGCACAAACTGTCAGGTTTTTTAAAAAATTCAAAACTGAAAAGGGATTCAGATTAAATACTTTTTGTTGGACTTTCAGCTGTTATATTGTTTGTACTAGTAATGTAATTCACAATTATGTTAGTAATCAATTATTCCGTTTCGTTTAACCATTTAAGCTTTTCTACGTAGTATCAGTAATGCATTAAGAGACGTAAATGAACAAATACTTCATCTCCTTTTTTAACTATGAGCACAAACATTTTAGTGCTTAAAATGTTTTCATTAATTTTCACTTCTACATCTAGAACGGATTCGGTTTGTGCTGAAATAACGCAGCTAAGATCCACATTCATGTTTCTGTGTTCTTCAGGCTTACCCAGAGTACTTGATCACCTATCAGATTATGAAGCCAGAGACTCTGGCTGCGCCCGCTGCCACTGCTGAGCAGAAGTCCTAAAGGACCGTCACAGCTGGAACTGAAGATGACCAGAACAATTTCCTTAACGGACCGTAAGCGAAGGAGGGGGGGAAAAAAACAGTCCACACCTCTGACGTGAAGTCTCTGGAGCCGAGTCCGAGGGGGTTGATGTGAAATAATCCCTCGAAAGATGCTGAAATATGCTAAAAGAGCAGACTGAGTCGGGCTTAACCTGTAAGTTCAGTCCAAAGTCAGCAGACGGCAGAAATCCATTCTTATTTAGTGTGATGATATGGAGGAGACGCAGGTTGTTCAGCCGTTTAGAGGCTCAGTCACAAAAGCCACAGACTCTTTGCTGTTTTGGTACCTGTGTGCTGCTCGTCCGTTCTGTCCTCACATCTTAATGGTTTGTTTTGACAGCCGGTCCCTCTTTTGCTGCTTTGAATCATTCACAATGAGAAATTTAGCAGCGGTCACGCCGAGAGAAAAGAAATTCAGAGCGTTTAATCTAACATTTCCACCCTGTGGGGCTGAACAAGACAGAAGAAGACAGCGTGAAATGAGTCTAAACAGAAATAACAAGAGCACTGTAGACAAATTACACCCCGGAGGCGAAAAAACCAAAGGCTAATGGGACGCAGTCGGACCACAATCCAACGCTGCAGACGTTCCGCTGCACTCTGTTAAAGGGACCAGCTTCGCTTTGCAGCCAGTTTTGGGATAAATCAGCTCATTTACAGAGCAGCCGGAAAACATTGAACCCAAAAATATGGACGCTAATAACAAAAATAATAACAATACACACAGTACTTTTGCAAAAGTATCCAGAACCACTGAGCTTTTTTTGCAATTCCACATTATAACCACAACCCTCAATGTATTTAATTGGGATTTTATTTTATAGACCAACAGGAAGTAGTACGTTATTTTAAAGTGGAAGGGTACGTTACTCGGTCTGTCTGTTCTCTGATGTTCCCCAATAAACATTCAAGGCCTTCATGCACAGCTCTCTCCACATGAAGAGAGTTGCTTGCATTTGATTTTATTTTGAAGCATCAGGGTAAAGAGGGCTAAATGCAAATGAATGCCACACTTTTCAGATTTCTATTTGTGGAAAACCTTTAAAACTTAGAAGTTTTCGAGGACAGAAAATGTTGATTATTCTTCCGTCTGCCAAACTGTTATCCGCTATTACACAGTTGGAGTGTCACGGAAATCTCTTTTGAAATTCATTGGAATTTGTAGCTGTACGATTTGTGATGCAAGAAAATTCGACTGGTTTGAAGACTTTTGCTGCGTACTGTGTGTTCTTATTGTGTTACTGCTCAATTTCTGGTCTTAATTTGAGAGAACATGAGATTTTTGAGGTGTTTAGTAAATCTCTCCTCTCTGCTCTTAGAATCACCTAAAATAGTTCCAACTTTATCAATAAGAATGTTTAAAATCGTAAAAAAAAAATACACTTACTGCTGCCTTTCCAGACCATAACTAATATTTGCACACAAGCACCTACACAGTTTATTTGGCACAAATTAAAGACACTACTGTGAAGGATTGGTTAAAAAAAAACAAAAAAAAACTTCACTTTTTAAGCTTTCAGTGCAATCACTTTAACATTCGCAATTCATTTCAGTGTAAACCACTCCGACATCCTAAATCTGCATCTTCCACCAGTAAGTGTTTAAACTGCAGTAGCGGGTTAAACCAGCTCCAAGTTTAATCACTACAAATGCTCAAATTTGCTGTAAAATGCCAGAAACACCCAAAACCCAGAGGTGACATTTCAATTAAGTGTAATCCTTTCTTGAATGGATTTTAACTTTTTAAAAGAAAAAAGTTTAAGATCGAGATGAAGAAACTGAATGTACCGGATTTAAAGATGGAAGATAAAAGGTGCCTCTCCTCAGTTACTCATTTAAATTCACATGTAAAGCTAGTTTTTTATTATTATTATTATTATTATTATTATTATTATTATTATTCTGTATCACGTATTGTCTCCGAGATGTTTGAAAAGGTGTGTTTGTTTACATGAACCTGCTGCCTTCTCGTCCCTTTCCTCTCTGGCTGTTATCTGTTGCCGCCCCCCGGTGGCCGAACAGTGTAACTGCCCGCTTGTGCTAACGAGCGAAAGGGTACGCTTTTATTTTCAGTTGTACAATTCAGGAGGGCATTACTGTAAAGTTGTGGGGTGGTGGGTTAGTTGTAAATAGTGACGTTTTCTCGCTGTATTTCACTGAGCCATTCAGATCACAGACTGAACAGATTGCTGGTGTTTGTTTATGCCACAAGTTCTCAATAACGTGAAGCAGAGGCCGACGCAGAGAGAGTTTTCCAGCGTTTTTTACCAGGTGTAGACAATACATACTGCTTATTTTTATTTTCTGACCATATTCTCCTGTTGATCGTTGGCTGTTTTCTAATAATGACACTTTACATTAGATGGGACCACATTAAGGCAATTGTAAAGCTAAACCAGACTCTGATTATTCCTGCACAGTTTAGAAAGAAAAAAAAAACATAATTTGACTTCAGCATTTTCCAGCTGTGGAAAAAACACAGATTTTATTTTCTATACCATTGGCCCTCCCTTTCATCCTCCCTGTGTTATGTTCTTCCTTTATCTTTTTCCACTTTTTAATTTTCAAGGTTTCATATGAAGAGCCTGGCACAATTTTTTTTTTAATAAAAAAAAGTCTGGAATTCCAACATGATGCTGGTCCTGATTTGTGATTGCTGGTTTCACATATTTTTTTGTTAAAAAAAAATAACTGAAAAGTTTCTTTGCTCCAATAGGATTTCATTCATGTTTATACTATTTGTGTGTGTATGTTTTATTCTTTTATTTTATTTTATCTTTTATTTTATTTTTTTAGAAAGTAAAGTTCTCACTTCGTTATTTGCCATTCCAACTCTTTGGGAAAATCAGACGGTTTTCCTTTACGACATAAATCCAGTGAGCAGTGAGACGATGTGACAAAATAAAAATTCAGTTCATTACGGAAAATACCAGAACGTTAATCAACCTGTGGACAGAATAAATTACCGCAGGAGAAAATGGGGAAAAACTGATAAGCATGAAATTAGGTTGGCATGGAAATGTCCATCTGATGAACGCTGCTCACATTAAGAGAAGAAGAAGGCTGTGTAAACAAATCTTTTGTGTACCGCCATGATGTCGGTCTAAAATTTAATTAGTTTTTGGTTCATACAGAATTTTTAATGACATTATTAAGATGAGCATTGTTTCATTAAAAATTGCTAAAACTCCAGATGGGCCTTTTAATGGATGATTTGTCTGTTTTTATGCCTAATTCCTGTTCAGTTTAAATGGTCTGTCTCTTGCTGATTTTGTCTCTGTCAGCCATGTTTTTGTGTATATACTGGAGGGACTGTTTGTGTGTGTGTGTGTGTTTGTGAAATAAATCTGTGTTCACTTTCTGGCTGCCCAAAGCATCAGATGAAACGCATTTCCTTATCCGTTATGTCCGACCTGCTGTTGTACAAATGGTTGTACAGATCTAACGTGAAACACAAAAACTCCTGTACAGAAGAAAATCCTTAATAAAAAATAATTTTAACTTTATTTCACAGTGGAGGTTTCTCTCTTCTTTTTTTATTACCTTTTTTTTATACACAAAACAGTTGATAATTAAGGAAAAACATTTGTTGGAACTACAGCTGTACCTAATAAAGTGGCAGGTTAGAGTATATAATTAGATGAGTCAAGATTTTAGTCTTGAAAATAATCTTTAGGAAAATGTTTGCAATATAAATACGTTGAATTTAACATGATTTAAGCTGTGATCAAAACTTTTAGACAAGTTGCAACATTTAACCTAACAACATGAAAATCTTTTTGTTCCTTTGCCATCTTATAACAGGCTGAAGTTATTACAGTTACATGTTCTTGCCAGTGGGTGGCGCTGCTAACTAACAATTACTCCACAATCATTCAGGTCTCAAAAATAATGTCAAATATTACCAGTTTTTCAAAGGGAATCATTTTTCATGTTAAAATGTTTTCCTTTTAACATTTGCCGTTTTAATTTTATCGATAATCAATTTCAGACTTAAGACTTCTAATAGTTGTGGAAAGTGATATAAATCTGTACCTTATTGTCTCTGTTAAAATATCACAATTTTAATCCAAAATGAAATGACTGGAAGTTATGTAAGTAGCAAGAAAAATATGCATAAATAAATCAGCTGGTATAGTTATCGTTTGTTTGCCTGAATGCTTATATGACTGATGAACTATTTGCTGCATTTATATCACTTTTAAATGCCATCATTTAGTGATGCCAAAATAAAAAAAAATGGAATAAAACAAAACATTCACTTTCAAGTTATGTAAGAACATTATTTATTCAACAGTAGATCTCCAGTAATAAATAAATGCACAGGTCATTCATTCCACAATGAAACTGAGGGGAAACATGTTTCCATTTGAAGGGTCGATATTGCCATGGTGAACCGGAGAGAGATGCAGATGGGACTGAATACAGAGAGGCATATTAAGACGTACAGATACAAACTACACAGATCTGTATAAAGTATTGCATTTTTCATCCACTGGCCCCCTTTTTTTGTCCATCTCTCAGTACAAAGATCGACTCGGTCCGGAATCACCAACGATGTGCAAATCAACCAATAAAATTACAAATACAGTATTGCATCACTTCAAAGTGCTACACAGAGAGAAAGAGGTGCTGACGATCTTTAAAAAAAAAAAGTGTAGAAACCTTAAACGTGTGTGTGAGTCTGTATGGGCGTTCAGCTTTGAGTCTAGTATAAAAATGAACTTTTTTGCCTTTATTGGTCTAACACAGTGTTCATCTTAGCCTGAAACTTTAGTAATGCAGGAGTGCCCACGAATTGTGATGTAATAATGTATATATTTTTTGTGCTTGACTGGTTTTGAAGTACAACAGTCAATTCCTGATTGTGTTTTTCTATGTATATAAAAGTGCTCGTTTGGGTGATTTAATACCATTAATAACCAATAATTACTAATTTACTATGTTGATGAGAAATAGGCATGGATACCAATTTTAAAGGATGACAAAGATACAATTTAAAAACTTGTAAAATAGTTTCCATATAATTCCTAGGGGTTAAAGTATTTATTGAGAGATGCCAATAAAAAAGGGAAAGAGTAGTGACGCACCAGTGTCCATCCCCAACCTGTTTCTGTTCACTTCCTGTGAAGATTTGCAAGAAAGCTAAACTCCTCTGTTTTGAAGGAACACCACCCATAATTTATTAAGAATCAAAAGCTTATATTTTATAAAGATAAATTGTCTTATGGTCTCTTTCTGTGCTTTGTGCCATTAAACTTGTGTAAGAATTGTACCACTTGTTTAGCGAAGATGAATTGAAATTTAAAGCAACATGCTAGCTGGGCCTATTTGGGAGCAGGCTAGCACGCTTTTAGTAGGCTAGCTGTTATTTTGCTGTTGAAATTAGACTTTAAAACTAAACTAAGCATTTTTACAAACATCAAAAGTTTAAATCCTGAAGTTTACTCCAACTTTATCTTTAAAACAACATTTAGTAAATCCACACAAATTAGCTTGTTGACTCTAGCTCTGGTTCTTGGTTAGCTAGTTTGCAAGTGAATTAATTTGTTTAATCATCTATGAGGTCTAATAAAAGTAGTACGAAAAACAAGAAAATTGTGCAGGTGTTTATTCTGGATATTTACTTGCACTTTAACACTATTTTAATTTTTTTTATTTTTTTTGGGATAGTCTACCACAAAACCTTGACTGTGAGAATTTCCTACCGGCCCATGCCTATTGAGGATTCTCAGGGGTCTGCCAAACATCCATCAGTCTACTATCTTGCAGTTACAAAACAAAATAAATGCCAAAAAGAGAACTTACTGGGGGATACCTTAATGAACAAGGCACAAACATCTTAATGGACCATCCACTGACACCGATGCTTATTTTTGCTTTTTATCTGAAAAAATTTTCAAGGCACCAAGCAGGAGCCACTTTGTTCTTCATGTCAAATCACTGTAAAGAGATAAAACATCGCTGAGAAGAAGTGAAACCCAGTTTGTTTTAACTAAAAAAAAAAAAATGAATAGTTTACCACACACGTTTAAAAGGAATGGTACTTAAACAGACTGTCTTCCAGGGAGTTTAATCTAAAAAGAGAAACCCAACTTTTCTGCAAAATATCCCCAAAATCTTTTCACTCTTCCCATCAGAAAACACCTCCTATTTCCAGAAGTTTCGGCCCTTTTTGCCTAAAAATATTTATATACGATGCAGAAGGGCTTTTCTGTGGTGTCAGGGGTTTCCCAGTCCATTTACAAGGGGCCCCAGTCTTTTTATTTGGCATCTAGTTCTATTTATTTTTAACATCCTCAGTGAGAAGACGAAGAGCAGAGAAGAAAAAAAAAAAGAGGGAGGGGGACAAGTCTGACATGAGAGGCAGAGATGAGAGGATGAGGAGGAGGGAGGAAGCATAAAGGGATGAAAAGGGAGATGAGAGGAGAGGAAGAGGACGTGTGAAGGGCAGGAAGCTCCGGTCGGATCCCCGGCAGAACACCTGTCACTGAAGAGGCTCCTGCTTTCTGTCACCCTCGCTTTTTCCCCTCCCTCTTTCCTTCTCCATCCATCTCCTTTGTCCGGCGACAGGAGGGACACCCGAGGAGGAAAGAGGGAGTGCTTAAAATTCCCCCCTTCCTTCCTGTGTCCATCTCCTCTCCTAAAGACCTCGTCTCCATAGAAACAAGCTATCTTCATACTGAGCTTATTCAGTCGGCAGGCATGAACGTGTGCGTGGGAGAGAGGGGAAGATAGGTTCGCTGCTGCTCAGGCCTCACCGTGTTAGGTTTCTGTGTGTGTGTGTCAGTGTGTCTCTGTGCATGTTGGAAGAAAAGTGTGTCCGCGTTAATGTCAGTCCAACACTCCGTGTGAATGACGAACAAGTCCAGAAAAGACATTTCGTTTTTGGTCAACTGGAATAAATCTCTCGTGAAAACTGACTGAGTGTTGGCTGGTTTGTGAAATTAAAAAAGACGAAGAAGAAGAAAAAAAAAAAAAAAGGTCCTTTTCAGGCACCGTGACGCTTCTCGCCTCCGTGTCGTGGAAGTACGGACACACTGCAGAGGTCAGTGACACCGAGAGCTCCTCCAGCCCAGTCCGCTCTCGCTTTGAGTCAGGATATGGGGGTAACGCTGTCCATTAGCAGCCAGGTGAGGTCGTGATGGGGCTGTGGTGCAGGTAGGCCGGGTTCACCACCGACACCGGGAAGTTGAAGATGAACGGAGACGTGGGCGTGACGGCCGTCGAGCTGTTGGCCACCGTGGACTTGGGTCCGAGCAACGGGCTCGCCGTGGCCGCGGCTTCGGCGGCGCAGGATGTGGCGAGGACCTGGGACTCGAACTGCAGCAGCTGGCCCATGAAGCTGAAGTTGGGCGAGATGATGCTGCGGCGGCGGCGCACGAACTCGAAGGCTTCGTCCAGACGTACCCGCTTCCTCTTCATCAGGTACGCCAGGCAGATGGTGGCGGAGCGGGAGATGCCCGCTTGACAATGGACCAGCACTCGTCCGCTTGAGTCTCGTACTGAATCTGGGGAAAGAGATGGATCACAGTTCAGAGACGACTGCTGACAATAAAAGCAATCAAATCTCCAACCAAAATGCTTGTTGACAGAAGGCCCAGGTTTCTTTCCTGTTTTGAAATACAGTTCTTTGGAAAAGTACAGATCTTATCTTGGGAAGGGTGGGCGATATGGATTTAAAGGTTTATCACGATATTTTGTGATACTATTGTGATAACGATAAAAGTGACAATAATAACTATTTATTATGTATTTTTAGGTAACTACTATGACTGGGTGTCACAGCAATTATACAAACACAAATAATGCTCTTGAAAATCAGTCCAGTTGGCAATGCACTTCTTTAGGATACAAATCACATTAATAAGTATAATTTATATCACTAAACTACATACTGTAACTGTATTTTCAAATTTATAAGGATTTATTGATGTTTTCTTTGAACAAATGGTAAAACGGTCAATCCTAACAACAAGTATAGTTTTGAGGGGATTTTAAACACAAATTTATCACACTCGAATTTATCACGATAACGATAAATCAAAATTCTTACCACTATATGAAATTTATCACGGTAAACAATATAAGTATTGCCCACTCTTACTTCTTTGTTTTGAGTTTTTCCTCATGCTTAATTAGTTGTTTAACAACATCGAACTGATTTTAATATCAGAAGGATAACGAAGTTGAAAATTATTTTTGTTTAGTTTTTAAGGGAAAAAGATTTCCAACTCAACCCTAGTGTTATTATAACTGGCTCCTTTAATTATCTAATGTCTCTTCTTTTTCAATGCATTTTTCCACTGAATAAATCTCTTAGTAAATGTTTATTGTGTATTAAAATAAGTCATACTTTAAAACCTCTAGCCCTTTCCTCACCCTTATGCGCATTATTTTTGCACCCAGCAAGTAGCTTCTATCACACCAGATGCACAGTGACGCCTCGCCTAAAAACCGCTTTCGTTTTTCTCTCCTACGCACTTTTGTGCCTCTCTGCGCTCTCAAACCGATAACTAACCTCAAAGTGAGAACGCTGCAAATCACATTTACAGTAACTGACACACACAAGTGCAAAATTTGAATCATTCTCTTCTTCACACTTCCTCCTCTGGCCTATTTATGGCTCCGTCTCAGAGTGCACACACGCTCTAACTTTCTCATGAAAAAAAAAAACAACAACAACCTGATTTAGGTAATGGTTTGATTACAGCATTTACAAGAACTAGATTTTTCAGCTTGTGTGGCTGAATGCACCAAGTCTGAACCTTAAAGTGTGAGGGTGGGTTTTATTTTTGCAGTACTGCTAAAGAATTTTCTCCATTTTTTTACAGACAAATTAGACGAGAGGTATACAGTCACTGAAATTCACTAATCTTTAATAGTTTTCCCTTTTACAGAGATACTCTCATACAAACAGATTGAAAGCTAACCCCAGCATCGCGTTTGCTCACTCGGTAACACCGGATGAGTCAGACTCTAGTCCCACAGCAGCTAACTATGACGCATACCAGCAACCTTCACCTGCACACACACGCATAGACATCAGAGCCCATGCTAACACTAACTTGTACTGCACAGCACCAATATGCAAAATAAAATCGCACTTGAATACATAATGCACTCAAAAACAACAACAAAAATGAGCTACAAGCGCGGCAAAAACAACATTTTACCAAGTGTGTTCGTTCTAGTTTGCGGTGCAGATATTTTTTTGTGCACCTGAAAAAAATAAGTTATCATCAGGAAGGTGTAGGATGTTGTTTTAATTCAACAATTCCTCAGCATTGATGGAAATTGCTATTCTCATCACGCCGTGCGGAATCCACACAGCACAAAGCAAAACATAAACACTGCAGCCCGTCACATTTTGCGAGCACACTCCCGTCAGACACTGACCTATGAACTCGATGGCCTCCAGGAACCAGCAGCTGATGTCTTCTTTGTGGTTGTCCTCCACCGGGATGCACTTGTACTGGTAAGTGCCCTCGAAGTGGTTGGGACAGTCGGCCGACACGTTCAGCAGGGCGGAGATTCCGACGCTGTCCAGGACCTCCTTCTTGGAGGCGTGAAGGGCGCTGCCAAGGTAGAGGAAGGGCAGGATCTCGACGGGGCCACCCTGGTGAGACACCAACAGGAGGAAGATCTTCACTAGCCGTCCCTGAATTAGTAATAAATGGCTCATGTCGGACAGAACGGAGCACAGAGGCCCGGTGGCTTGACTGCAGCTTCATAATGTCTAAATCGCATTAACAAAGCTTCTTATTAGATAGAAATGGGTTTATTATTTGTGTGAGAAACACAGTCGAACTGTTTGGGTTGTATATTTATGGGTCACGTCGATCCCCTGACGAAGCCACATAATTCAGCTGAAATACCGGCGTGTTTTTCATGTGGTTTCACAGCACTTTGCTGCTCTGAGCAGACCGTGTTTGCAGCTGCTCCTCTGTAAGCAAAAGCATCTCAGTGCCCAGGCAAGGAGCTGGCATACATATTATGACTAATCATGAAACTTCCTTGAGAATGGAAAAAAAAAAATCAACAGCAACATAAAGGTTGTTTTGTTTTTGACTTGTTTGAAAAATATGACTTGTTGATCAGACATTAAATGTGATGTTGGCTAATATCTATATGAAAACTTCTATCCCCCCCGTTTACCGGACCTGAGAGGTCGACGGGTCAGCAGCCGTCCCTTATTGACAAAAAGCTCTGTCTGTTTATGTCACTGCCGCTGACGAATTCGGTCCCGACACAGAGTCAGGAAATGATCAATATGGCTAAGAGATGCCGAGCAGGGAGGGGCAGAGTGGGCTGCATCGCTCTCGGCCAGTCACTCCATCATACTTGCCACAGGAAGTTGCATCCTTCTCTTAAACTAATAAAAAAAAATGCACCTGACAGGACAATGAAGCGATTTTCTTGGAGAAACACAGACATGCAAACAGAAGCTGGGTTGTCTAAGTCTCTTGGCCTCGTGAATTCCAGGGGAATTAAGCCCAAAGCACATGTGACTCCGAGAGTTGCGTAAAAACCGCAGGCTCAAACAAACAGATCACTGTCCGACGAAAAATCAAGGCCAGTTAGGTCACAGGAAGTTGTCGAGAGCTGAATCGATGCCGAACTTTCAGCCCACTCCATTAGGGGAACTTATTTTAAGCATTTTAATCAATTTGAAGCAGCCTCAAGACTGGTAAAAACAAAAAAATGGAAGTTAGTATGTAACACGAGTCCTTCAATAAAGCACTCATAACCCTGGGATCTGTCTGAAAGAAGGCATGGGCCTGTCTGACACTCTCACTGTAGAATAACCTGATGTTTTTTTTATTAAATATGGAATGATGACATTAAACTTTCAGGTTGGATGATTCCAGAAAACTGTGTAAGAACAACGTATGTTCCTACATGTTAAAATTAGGCGACAAGACTTATCTCTTGCGTTGGTGAAAGACAAACATAGCTCTTTATCAATATTTCCGGTCACGTAAAACAAATACAGTTATGGGCTGGAACCTAATCACTCTTATGGAGGTTATGTCTGTTTATGAGCTGAAAGCAGGCTATTGAAGAGCAAATTCACCATAAGGAGCAGAACAGCGAAAAGAAAAAAAATACATATTTAGCACAATAACCAGCTGAAAACGTTATTACATTTTCCAAGTAGTCAGTTTTCATAAAAACAAGCGTAACCGTATCTATTGTTAGGATGTTAAAACGTTGAAAAAATGTTGCAAGACAAAAGAAATCAAGCAAATAAAGTGAATATGAAACTGGTGATTGTAACAGTATAGAAAATCAAATCAAAATGTGTAAATATTACAGCCAAATTGATAAGAATGTGATAACTGATGACGAATATTATTATATGAGCTCACCTAAACTAAAAGCAGAGCAACCATGAAATGTTTTCAGTTTTCTTCTAAATGATAAATATGTTACATTATTTCAGCAGATCTTGTTAGTTTTTGGTTTGAAACGCAGACACGCATTAGGTCATGTTATACATTTCTGATTTTTAAATATTTGAGGAAATATCACAATGATGCCTTACAAAAGTAAATATTTTTAATGTTGACTGGATTACGTTTTTTTATTATTATTATTTTCTTAATGCAGGAAAAGCAATGAAGCAGAGGGTGACGGTTTTACCTGGTCGTTGTGTGGCGTCCCACACGATGAGCAGGAGTCGATGCTGGACTGGCTGGTGAAGGACGGCAATGATTTGTTTTTTAAGCAAAACTCGGGATACTCTGCGTAAAATCTGTCATATCCCCCTAGAAACGAACAAGAAAAAAAATATTAACAAACATAACAATGTCTTATGAACACATTTACAGATAATCATAATAAAGTTATGCAAACTGAATGTGCAGCAGGATCTCCCAGCATCTTTCAATATATTTAAAACATATCCTTCAAAAGGGAATAATCAACTGCAGTCTGACCACAGCGGCTTGTGTCAAACCGTATTAACCATGATGTGTCATGTTTACCAGCCGCTCAGACTCTTGTGCTTCAAGCCGTCTGCATCATTAGGATGCAGGCACAGACGCACACACAGGAAAAAAAGGGGGATGCGCCACGGCTTGCAGCAACTTCTGCTTTCAGAATCTAAAACTGACAACCTGACTTTCCAATTTTCCACTTTTTTTGTTTTTTGTTTAAATCATTGTTATGCATTTCAGTTTGTCCCTTTTCACTCCGTACGGAGGAATCCTTGTGAAATAATACAGGCTGTGCTGAGTGTCACCGATGTTTTCATGTGGCTTCAACGCATCAGCATTACCTCATCCACTCAGCCACTGAGCTATGAACGCGTGGATGTGGATGTGAGAGATTGACTATATAAATATATACATATCACCTGCCATCATCCGATATCAGTTAATCGATTATAATGTCAAATAATTGCGATAACTGTGAACATTATTATTATTATTATTATTATTATTATTATTATTATTATTATTTACAAATTTATAGTAGTCAGCCCCAAGTGAATGAGTGAAGGTGGTCTAAATGGGAGGTATTTTACCTTTGAGCAGGTACACCAGTGTTCCCTGGGAGTCCCTGAACAGCGCGTTGAGCACCAGGGTCACCGTGCTGTCTTCCTTCACTGAGTCCGAGTCCGGCGTCCTTTCGTCGTACAGCACCACGACGGAGTACATCCCGGAGCGCAGGCGGCCCCGCACCTCCTCGTCCCCGGCCAGGACCTGGTCCAGGCTCAGCACGGAGCCCTTCGCCCTCCTTCGGACGATGGTGTTGCAGCGCGCGTTGACGGAGCCTCGGATGTGCCCGGCGCTGAAGGCGAGGAAGGAGCGGCAGTCCAGCACCAAGCACCGGCCGCCGTCGTCCTTCAGGAGCCGCTTCAGCACCGTGCAGTCCATCTCGCCCAGGTCTTCCATGGCACCTCGATGCAGATTGTGTGTGTATTAGGGTATGGGGGGTTTCACTGGTGTTTATCTCTTCGCCTGCCGAAGCTGAAGAAAGCTCGCGCTCGGATCCTGTGGTGGATTCCCCCCTCGCGCCTCTCTTCTATCTGCGCATCACCGTATCCATTCAGCTTCTTGTTTCCTCCTCTCTGTGTGTCTATCCTAAGAACTCTCCTTTCTTGTTATTCTTTTTTTCTTTTTTTATGAATGGGTACATCGCGTCACGGCGGAGGTGACGTCAACCAGCAGCAGCCAATCACAGAGCTTTCGTTTATTCATTGAAAAAAAGAGAAAAAGCAAAAGACATCAATGAAACTGAAGGCGACAATGAAACACCAGAAGTCAACAGCTCTTAAACTCTTGAAAAAAGCACTAAATGGAAATCAGCTGATAAACTTGTTTATCCCTCAATCCCAAATGTCAAAACAACTTATTTCAATATTATTATGATCTAATTTTCTTGGCCAAAAATAAAACTTAGGTTTGGAAAAAAAAAAAAAAAATCTTATGTAGCCTGAAAACATTAAATTAAGAACCTTCCCATATGCGTCACCATACTACATTTTATGGAATTGAAGATAAAACAAAACAAACAAACAAAAAAACCCAGAAGAATTTACTTTTTTAAAACTTTACTTTTTAAAACTTGTTTTAATACACAAACATCTAGCAAGTGCACCATGCATTTGTTTTCAGACCAGCAGAGTCAATACTTTGCCTCCATTTTGCTTCTCACACCTAGATCCCTGTGTTTATCCATTCCTCTTTGCAAAATAGTCTGAACTCAATCATACATGACAGAGATCTCTGTGAAGAATAGCTTTCAAATCATTCTACATATTCTGATTTGGACTGAGGAATCATGGATTTGACTGGGTAGTTTTAACTAGGAACATATTTTGATCTAATCCAATGGTGTTTATAGGGTCTTTAACAGGTTTTCTTCCAGGATTGCAATGTATTTAGCTCCATCCATCTTCCTTAAATTTCTAACCCTGATTTTAGCCTTTACCACAACTTTATTCCTGACCTTTCTACTGTGTTCCCTGTTCGCCATTGTGCCGTTTGTTATAAAAAAAAGTATGATGAACCCTAGAAGAGAGCATAATTAAGAACCGAAACTGACTCACCAAACTTCAACCCGTCTGTACAGGCTTGACTCATAAGCGGTAAGATGTTCCTGCATGCACTAGACATGAACTTCAGGTATTTCATATTGTTCTTATTTAAAAACCTAAGCATTAATATTATTTGTGTTGCATGAAGTTACGTATAAATTGCTTTAGATTAGGGAAAAATGCTTAGATCATTACAGTCATTGCTGTGTGCTTAGTTTTATTACATTCCCCAACACTTTATCTAATCTTGCAGTATTTAAAGCTCACCTATAACACCGGTTCTGTCTGTTCTTGGCGCTACGGGACCGCAGGTGGGTGTGCTTACGTCCCTGCATGCATGTGCGTGTGTGTGCATAAGTCTGAGCGCGCATCGGCGTGTGTGTGGGTGTGTAATCCTACAAGCGGATGCAATTTGCATCTCCCATCACACAAGCCTCAGAGCGTGCTCAGGTATTTGCATGTTGATCTCATTTCCATGGTTACAGGGGAACGAGAGCAGCGAGGCAGCAGATGACAGGAAGAGAATTCAGACGAAAACAGACGGAAAGCAAAACAAGCTCAACCTGGAAGAGAGAGAGAGAGAAAGCAGGTGGAGGGACAAATATGGGTGGGTAAATATGCAAATGTATTTGATTTATGATTTATATGCAGATACAAATCTGTGTTAGAAGCTTTGAAATGTTCACAGTCTAATCGAGTTTGAAATATTTAGAGGTATATCTCATGTAATCACTAGTTTATATAACAAATTCTCCCATCTAATTGTCATGTCTTAATGTCAGATGCAAATAAAAAATAAAAAAAACAACAAATGCAAGGAAAACTCGGCAGAAGCTTATGGCAGTGGCATATATATAATATGCTTAAACTAGGTTTGTAAAACCTCAAAATTCTGTTTTTCTACAGAATTAGATACAAACAAACATAATTTGCTACAATAGAAAGGTCTCAGTGGCTCTAATGCTTCTTGTCATGAGAAGCTCTAACCTATGAATTACTCAAGAGATGAACTATTGTTGTGTTTTTACAGCTCAGAAAGAAGCCAGTCTCACTGCCAGCAGCCTGTCACGAATGCAGTTGTTTTTCTTTGTCAAGGTTGTAAAAACACAAAACATAACACAATTTAACATAACAAAATTTATTCGGATTTGATCCCCAGTTTGTCCTTTCTGTGTGTGTCCTAATTTGCGCCAATAACTGATTTTGTTATTTTAATTTTTACATGCAATAGAAACAACAATACAGGGTAAAAAAAATTACTCTGACATGGTAAGATGGAGAGGCAGAACGGTGCAGGGAGAGGAGTCGAAGCAAAGGAGTCGTAGGTAGAGATGGATGACTGGATCCGATAGAAAATGATCAGAAAAGACAGGAGACGACTTCTTCTGCTGGACTGCAGATACCAACGGATCACATGTACACCATGCTGCATTACTATCAACCCCAAACAATGCCTTAACCAGGCGGGATGGTGCTGCTGCCGTAGCAACAACAAAGAGGTGCGGGAGGGTGGAGAGCGAAGGGAGCTGGGGCGGGGAAGGACTCTGAGGGGATTGGCTGGAAAGAGACTCTGCGGTGATGTCATCGCTCTCTCCCTCCTGCTGCCCTGTGGAGTCCATCCATTCATCCCCTCGCATCACATCCCCCATCTGCACTCCGTCATCCGTCAATACAGAGGACAGGAGGGAGAGGACGGGGTAAACAGCTATCATCCTCCTCCTCTCATATCTGCTCCGTTTTCATCCTCTCAGTAAATAGCGGAACACAGTTTAGCATGCAACCAAACAGCATCCGGGATTCTTCTCGTGATATTGTGCAATGTAGAATTTGACCTTGAAGCAGAAATCTTTATAGGAGAGGTCTAATGACAGTGTGACACAAAACGTGTCACTTCCATTTGGTTTTATTTCACAGCACAGGTGGAAAAAAAAACAAACAAAAAAAAAAACAGCTCATATACCTAAAGCAGCCCGAAGTTATTGGAGAATGTAACAATTTACAGCTGTGCCACAGCTGGCGGAGCACTTCCTCTATCAAACGCTAATTTCTGCCATCCTTATGTCCTCTTGTCCTTGAGCGAGACATACAACACAGATTTGCTCCTAGTACTCAGACCGGTTCCTGCAATAATACATCTTGCGGGTTAATGTCACTGAATAGTTACTCAGAAGCTATTCTGATTTCCACTGGAAAAGGAGGTGGGAGGCGGTGCGCCATCATTTACCCTCCTGGGCAAAACATGGTACTGAGAACAAAACACTTAAAGTGTCTCCAGTCAGAGCCAGCATCCGACGGGAAAATAAAACTCCATGCAAATCAAATATGCATTGAAGTAAATGCTGCTTTGTAATCAATAAAAGGGGATTTGAAGTACTGCACTTCAGTCTGCGAGGGGCGGGGAAGAAATCCTCACGAATGTGTTTCACACAGGATAAACTAATCATGTTTGGTTGAATATTTCCTTTACTTACACCATTCTGATGTTTTTGAGACTGTTTTCAGGCTGTTTAAAGGAAATTTGTACTGGTTTTGAACCAGTAGGTTCAACTAATCTGGATTTGTAGCAACAACAACAACAGGGAAACAACAAAAGATGCATCTTCTGCAAGTTATATATTAATTGATTAACCCCTAACATCAAAAAGTGATGAACTGCCCTAACCCTTTAAGGCTCTGTGGTTGTTTCAAGCCTGGTGGCTGCGTTAATCTTTTATTTAGGTTTTGCTGTAAGTCCTGCAGCCTGATGAGAAATGACCTGAACTGACCTATTCCTTTGACAGTAATAGAAGCGTTTAATAAAAGCCACTAATTGTCTGCAGGCCCAGCTAATGAACTCTGAGTAATCAATAGAACAGTTAGCAGGTTGGTGTTTTCAAATCCAAATCAGTAAAGACAAGCTAGCCTAACGTGTCAATACAAACAACACACCAGCATCCACTTGTATCTCTGCACCATCTACGTACACACATCCTGAACTTCTCCCTCTGTCTAATCCCATAATCCATGATTAAGCTTTGACTGACTGACTGCTGCGTTTTCATGAATCAGTTCGTATCGTTTTGTCACGTGTTTGTGTTTATTGTCAGACAGGCAGAAAGAGTCCAAGTGAAAACAAAAGATGAGAGCTGCATTAAAAATAAAGGACAGAAAACGGTTGTTATGGAAAGAGGGCAGCGGAGAGAGAAACGGGATGAGCTCAGCAGCGGAAGTGGGCGAGAAGTGGCATGGTGGGGGCTGTTACTCTGTTTGGATCTGATCTATATTTTCTCTTGGAGACACGTTGATGTTGCTGCAGCACTGAGATGAGTTTTCATAGCTGTTTCACCTACTCAGTAGAGTTGATGAAACCTTAAAGTATAATTTCCTCCGAAATAATAGTATTTTTTTCTGTGGTATTTCGCTAGTATGCTACTATTTGAGCCTGCTAATAAACGGATGTTTTAAGAAAGTAATCCACAGAAGTTAGGGTCCAATCAGGGTCATTTTAAAATATATACGAGAGAACGTTCAGTAAATTCACTGGTTGGAATATTATTGTGCTGTTCTTCTAATATTATGTCTACAAAAAAATATATATGTCATTGTTCTGCGATTTATCTTTCTGTGAAGGACATTTCAGAGAGCTTCCACAGCAGAGTTTAAGGCGAAAACTCTGCTGGCTTGTTTTTCATCCTGTTTGCCCAAAGCAGTCTGTGGCAACTGTGAGAGTTAATAAGTAATTTGCTCAAAAGGTCACAAAGTATTTACCCTAATTTCAATGCAACACACTCCTGCCTACTTACTATGAACCCTTACTGGTCGTCTTTTTTTCCTCTGCAGCGTAGCATTTTTTTTAAAGGTGGCTAAGGTCATCATAGTGTAGCTGCCGTTTGAAGAAATGTTTTGTTTATTTTTCAGGTTAAAGTTGTATTTGACTGAGAAGATCAATAAAGAGCAAATAGGCAAAATATGCAATCATTTTTAGGGTGAAAGTTGGTCCTTAACAGAAGTTCTGCATTTAGATAATATCTTCTTTCATTGTACTGTTTTAGCTTGCAAGCAAAACAAAACAAAACAAAACAAAAAAATAAAACCCAAGCCAAACCAGATATCACCTAATTCAGTCTCACTCACATGCAACAACAAC